GAAGGCAGCCGTGGAAAGGTAACTTCTCTCACTGGGAGAATGTCAGGTGAACACAGGCACAGACTGTAGCCATGCAGCTTCAAGTCCATGAAGGTCCAGGGCTGTTGGCCATCCAGAATCCCCTCAGAGCCCTCAGAAGGAGCCTAACCTGTTGACCCCTTGATTATGTAGGTCTAATTTCCAGTACTCTGAAAATGAATTCCTCTTGTTTTAAGCTACTCCATCAGTGACATTTTCTTGCAGCTGTCCTATGAAACAGACACATACCGTGTCCCTGTCACAGCAAACATGCAACCTCCCCTTTGTCTTTGATAAGATGGCCTCCACACTTCCCCTCAATCCCACTTATTTGCCTGGCAAAGGGAAGACTTGTTTCCAATATATCCTTTTGAGTGAATGTTTTTCTCCTTTTCCTTTTTGACTAGAGGAGACCTCGCCGACCCATTATAAATTGGCTTTACCTTGGATTATAATAACAAACTCTCTTGTAACATATTATGAGATTTTTAAGGGTAGAGATGGTGTCATTTTTGCATACCCAGCACTCAGTGGCAACAAATATGCAGTCTGCTAAGATGATGACATTTTTGACTGATGTGCCCTATTGAAGGTACATGACACGGGGCACTCTAAGGTATGACTTTGGAGTTAGGCAGATCAGACCTGTTTTAAAATTCAGATTCCACCACTGATCAGCTATTGAGTATTCTTGGGTAAAGTGGCATAACCTCTCTGGGCCTCAATAGCCTCATCTACAAAACAGGGCTAGAGATTTCTTTCTGATGGGTTATGAGAAACTGATAGGGTACCATATGCAAATGCATCTACACACATAGTAGATATAGTAAATGTCTACTATTTAGAATATATAAGCACCATTTTGTTGGATTTATTGATGAGATTATAAAAGATAAAATTGGCACAAATACCCAGGAATGAAAGGCCAAATATATTAAAATTAATTTTAAAAATGCGAGACATACTTCATTTGCCAATTACTAACCAGAATCATACAGCATCTGAATTTTCACTAAAATAACCATTATCTTGTCATTTTGATTGGAGAGCTCCGAGGACCTTGTTTTGTTTGTTATTGGGGATAAATTTAGTTTTTGGCAACACTAAAAATGAAAGGAAAAAAAGGAGGAAGAAAAAAAGAGAAAGACAGAGAGAGAGAGAGAAACCAGAAACAAAGAACAAAGGGAAGTAATCTGCTTCCTGCCAGGTCTCTGCCAATATCTAGTTCCCTAATGACTCACCATCTCCCTCCTTACTCCAGAGAGAAGCTAATTTGGTCCATAATTATTCTGTCCCCTGACTCTTCCTGAACAAAAATGAGCACTGAGGAAAGAGCTACACTGCAGCTCAAGCCCAGAGCCCTCGGTCCCCAGGAGTCCTGCTATCACACACGTGTGAACATGAACAAAGTCAACCCACAGGCCCTCCCCAGCTGCTGGGAACTGGTTCCAAATGAAGCTTCAGTGTTTCCATGGCAAACACACACAGCAAAGGCAACAAAACAGACCATCAACCTGGTCCAAGGTCTTGTAAACCACTTATACCTGCTCTCATCATCTCTGTATCTAGCAATTTCCTGAAAATAGAAAGCATTTGTTTTCTTAAATGGTGCAACTTGCCAATCAAAAGAGATGATCCTTAGGCCATTAAACTGAGCTCCACTAGAATGCACATGCTTTTATAGAGCATCGCCATCTCAAAACAGCATAAATGGGGCTCTGGACAAGCATAAAAGCCCTTTATCTGAAAGTGCAGATCCCCAAAGTCAAAGCAAATGATTACTAACAGTACCTGAACCTATCAGGAGAGGAGAGAAGCTAAGACTGTCCGGTTTAACTTCCGGCTTTGCCAGTTTCTAGCTTCTGCCTCAGTTTCTTCACCTATCACATGAGGAAATTAATAATACCTTCCTTAGAGGTTGCGGCAGAGATTAAATAAGATGATGCATATACAATACTTAGGAGAGTGCTTAGCACATAGTAAGTCCTCAATAAATATATGCTACTAGTGTAACTGTTATTATTGTTGGTGATTCTAGATTTCAACAAAAGGCATATCTATCCCTTTCTACAAAGAAACCCCTGGGGTTGATCATTCTTTTCCTCAAAATGAGCACATTTGTGGGACTAATGTCGGATTTAAGCAGTAAATTTTCAACCAAGCCAAAGCAATTCAGAGGGAGAATTTGCCAGGTTTGCCTGCGGTGGAGTGGCCCTAAAATGTTCCCTTGGGCCCAAAGTTTATTACAGAACATCTATCAGAATCTTACTGAGTATACTCCAAAGCACAGGGCTGTCCAATCTCCATCCACCCACTTGCAACCTTAGAAGCTTCTCAACTCCATGCTCCAGGCAGCCACCACCAGTCAGCTGAGGTGGGCAAAGGGAAAAATAAAACCTATTTGCCACACACAGTGTAGGTCTCTCCCATTTCCAAAAAAAGAGGGGGGGAGATATAATCCTTTAAAATGGTGTTACTGGGGGACAGATGATAATATCTGCCTAATAGCCAAATGTCACTGTTTGGAAATTTTACCTCTATACAGTCTCATGGGGTAAACTGTGGGAGAATAAACCATTATCACAGTCAAAGTATATCTAAAATTGGAGAAATACTGAAGTGGGGGAGGGAGTTTAGTGTTTTAAATCTTCCTGAATAATGCCAGGGTACCACTGTCTACAGAAGAGCACTAACTCATTACACAGTAGATTAATAGTAGGAAAAGCTAGCAGGTGGATATGTAGAAATAATAACAATCCCTTTGGCTTTGGGGTGTTTCTAGGCTAGCATGTTTAGGGAGACCTGCCCATGGCTGTGAGCAAGCTCTTTCATGCCCATCCATATGCCATTTACTTATTTTTATTTACTATATATGCTATGACCCAAAAAAGTTTGGGAACCACTGATTTAAGAAATGAATACATTTTCCAAAGTCCCTTCATTTGTAGTGGTGGCAAAGCTTAGTAAGCACTGCATGTCCTATTATACTTCTTGATCATGGGTACTAATGCTGATATGTTCTAGAAAAACAAGATATACATTCTTGATCTGAATGAGAACTCAGTCCTATAGCCTAAGCTCAATTATGGTTAGCCTGCTTTGTTTGCAAGGGACACAGTTGCATTAAGGGGAACACAAATAGTGAGAGCTTTTCACAAAGTCCATCAAGGACTTTGCAGGAATGATGCAGGACTCCTACGGGAATGAAGACTTAAGTGATCTCAGCCACAAGAGACTGTGGATTTTCAATCCCATACTCCCCTAATAACATTACTTGATAATACTTTTTGTTTATCTTCGGAGGATTGTCTGCATTTTCTACAAGTTAACTACCAGTTGGCTTCTGCATCTTCTACTCTTTATCTTTTCCACCAGTTCTTTGCTTCATCCTGTTTCTAGGTTCTGATTCTCATAAATTCAACCTTCTCATAATTCCAGCTGGTTCCTACTTTACCTTGTTTGTCAATCTCTTCCCCCTTTTTCTCCATTCTTTCTGATCTCTTACATCTTTTACTGTCAATTCCTGCTGCAAACTCCCTTGCTGTATATAACCCAGTTCATACTCTTGAGAAGAAGAACCTGGGTGGTCCTACAAGAACCTCAGGCCTCTCAGGCTACTCATCCACCTGTTTTGACTGATCTTGGGTCAAATGCCTACTTGGCTGAAAGGGGTTAGTCACAAAACATGTAACCTTTAATAGATAAGTAGAATGATTTTCTTTTGACAATCTCTAGAGTAAGCTCCCTCAAGGGAACAAGGTTTTACATTTCCACTTCTCAAAAAAAAAGACCATTTAAATGCATTCATTGTATTATAGATATATTTTTTTGTTAACTTCTTCAATTTCCTCTTCTCTCTTTTCTTCTTTCCATCCATCCATCTATCCACCCTCCCAAGAAATACATATTGAATCCTTTTGTCTCCAAAAGGAATGCATGAGGTCTTCAATGACAATAATGTTTCTCCAGGACTAAGAACCTACTAGGTAAGAGAAGTTGTCTATGCAAATAATTATAAGTTCCCTGAGAATGACATAAACAAAATCCCCTAGAAGTTCAAAGGAGGAAGATATTGCTGTTTATTGGAACAAATTTCAGCTGGGCCTTGAAAAATGGACAAGATTTTGATATTCATTCCAGACACAACTAAAACATGAGACTGATCTTAAAAGTTAGTAGGATTTTGTAATATCATCAATTTTCAACATTTTAAGTTGTAGAATAAATGCATGATAATTTTAAAAATTCAAACCAAACTGAAAATATATAGGATAACATCACTTTACTTACTTTTCCATGAATTTCCCTCTGCAAACATAACTGATATTAACTGTTTTCTATTAATTGTCCAGACATTTTTCCATACCATTTATAATTATTTGATGATGTAGATATTATTAAATCAACTTTATTATAAAACAGGGTGAAAATCTGACTCTAAATAATATAGCCTAGTAAATGAAGGAATTAAGAATTCAAATGAGTCCTACTTTTTAAAAGGATTTGAACGTTTCCATTACATCTGGTGGATTGATGCTAGTAGCTTAAACAGGTATCAAATGACTCAGTTCAGTCTTATGAATAGCTCTTGTTTAGAGAGGGTCATTTCATCTAGATCTGGAAGCAAGTCAGAGGTGGGCACTTGTACGTTAGTTACTTCCACCAGAAAGTCTTTTACATACTGAGATGGGTGTTCGTTATAGTATAGTATACCTTGTGGTATACTATAACCTTAATTTTTGTCTCCATCGGAAGGTGAATTCTATCCTAAGAGAATAATGATGAAATTGTTGAAGGTTTAACCTCTACAAAAGTGCTTTAAAAGTTAAGCAACTGAATTATTGACCATTTTATTGCTAATAGAAAAGTCAACCAAATCTATTTAAGCCTCTTTATTTCACATCCAAAACGAGACTTCTAAAGGAACATATCAGAGACTATATGGGGGAAACTCAAATTCTATGTAGTTGTAGAATACTTACCCCAGACTGCCATGAAAACAGCAAAGAAGACAGTGGCTCCATTGTCAAAAAGGTGGGTCACCTGGAAATTGTAGAATCAGAGGCTGAATTCTCATGTATGATATGGAAATTTGCACTTTTTTTCAAGTTATATAAAAATAGTTATGATGAGTTTAGCAGGGGTTTTTCAGTGGATATTTCCTTTGGACCATAAAAAAGAGAGGGGTTCCTTTAAAACTGAAATGGTTCTGATATGGAAGAGAGAATTTGTTCCTTTATGTGGGGAATCATGTAGTTGAACATATATCAGCAGCCCCAATGGTGCTACTAAGAATTCCCTTTTGTGCACTACAAAAACTCTTATACATGCATATGAATAGGAATATAGCTATATTTAGGACTAGGAAGGTATTGCTATTGCTGGTTTAAAGGTTTCCAGCTCCCCAAGCTCTGTTTTAATGCTTCATTTATTCACTTCAAAAACATGGCTATTTTGTTTGTGTAGTTTTGAGCAAATTTTTTTCTGGGTTTCTCTGTGGATTTCAGCATTATAAAGGCAAGAGACCAGAAACATTAACAAAATCCATTTCCACCCTTATTAAAGCCTCCAGTAATCACTATATTTACCTACTGCACACAACACAAAGACAGTTAGCAATACTTTATCGCTAGAATAATATAGTCTACTGCAAACACCACAGCAGAAAAGCAAAAAATCTCTATTCTTACTGCGTAACTGCCAAGCTCATTTCTGCCTCCAGTATAAATCACACCAATGTCCATGTCAAATTGAAATGATAACTGATGGGTTCATAAAGCATAGCCTTTTAAAAAATATTTTATAGTTCCCTATAAAGTATACTGTACTGTCCCTTGGAGAATGTGCCAAGTATTAGCAGGTCTTTTCATGTTTTCAGAGCATAAAGTATTTCATATTATACCAAAAGTTTAAACTTTCTCTTTCTTTGAACACAGGAGGGATAGGAACCATCCAAACACCTAACGTGAAACAAACATCTAAAGCCCATGTATTTCATATTCCAGAGGGATATGCCTGAAAGTTCTGGTGGCACGTAGTTGGTTTATGCTCTCTATCTGAGTAATTGGTAGAAGTGGTGATTTTTACCATTATTATAGGTTCTGGAATGAATTGTAGCTGTCATTGGTTTTGGCTGCCCTGATCATTTTGCCTCTATTCTCCTTTCTGTAGGTAACAGATCTCTCTCACACTGGTCCCAAAAGGCATGTGGCTCAAAATAGAACCAATTGGAATACTTCCCTAGGACAGAGCTGCAAACATTTGGAGGGAGACAATTTTCTGCTTGTGTTATTAATTTGGTAGCAGGTAAATCAGACTGGGTGAGGTACTAACAGGGGCTTCTGTTTCCTAGTAAAACGGTAAGCTACTATGCTGATGCTACCCTCTGCCAAAATAGACCACAGAAAAGCAGGATAGTAGATTCCAGATGCTAACAAAAGAAAACAAACAAAGACCCAGGGAAGACAGAAAGTTGCCTTGGAAGGATGTTGTGTGTGCGTGATGGTGGTGACATCGGGGGCAGTAGGTGGCAGAGTGAGAGCACAGGTTAGAAAAAATATGTATATTATGGTCTTGCCTCCAAGTGGTCCTTGGACAGTTAGTTTCCCTCCTTCAGATAAGTTACAATAAGCCAAACCTCCTACTTGCCTGGGGCATTGGGAAAGTAGGTGCTGCCTGGTCAGCTGTCCATTCTCTCTTAAAACCCAAGGATGGTGGATCACAGTCAACCAAGGGAAAGTGCTTATCCCAATTCTTCTTACATTTAAACAGGTTTTTAAATGAAACTGACCAGAAATGTCCTCTGGTAGAGAAGCAGCACACAGTGGTACCTGGGCCACACTGTCCTCTCTGTAACTCACCAGGACGCACAGACAAGGGCTTGGACTTTGGCCTTCAAAGTATTTACTGTTCTAGATGTATTGGCCCACAGGCCAAAATAACAGAATATTTGGGAAAGACAATTCCCCCCCCTCCCCGAAATTCTCAACTAGGCAATATACACTTTCTGAAATAGCATATATTCTATATCAACATATTGAGGATTTAAAACAGCCACAAAAAATAAGCACAAAAAATATGCTTAAGGACATAAAAGAAGAAACCTAGAGTCACAGCAGTCAGCTATGAGAAGAGAACTCATCCACAGAATGATCATATGCACGGGTGGGCAGAGAGAGACCCCTGGGGACCTGGATGGCCAGTTCTAGGTGGAGAGGCCCTGTGTTCACAAAAAGCTGCAACCATCTTCTTGTTCCATCCAGTATTCATGTGCACCTGAAGTCCCATCAAACCACTCTGACATTTCTCTTTTTAAAATATTTTTAGTTATACATGGACACAATATCTTTATTTTGTTTATTTATTTTTATGTGGTGCTGAGGATCGAACCCAGTGCCTCACATGCACAAGACAAGTGCTCTGCCACTGAGCCACAACCCCAGCCCCACTCTGACATTTCTAATAATATTTTTTTATACCTGGGATAGAAGTACATCTCCAACAACAACCCTCCCCTCCCCTTTATTTATTTATTTATTTTTTGGAGAGAGGATCTTGTTTAATTGCAAGAGCCTCACTGGGCTGCTATGTCTGTCCTCAAATTGCAATCCTCCTGGCTCAGCTTCCTGAGTCACGGGGATTACAGGCCTGCGCCACCACGTCAGGCTGTAATAAAATGTTTCTAAGGAAACCTTGGACATCTCAATTCTGTCATTCTTCATTTTGTTATGTTTCAAGGCAAGAACACATGTTAGATTCAGAACCTAAACATCTTATAGCTCAGTGAGGCACAGAGGTCAAGAAGATATGCTTTCTGGTCTGATAAACCAAGGCCTGACTACTTAATGTGGTATGCCCATGGATGAATAGTTTTTATCTTTCTGAGTCTCTGAGTAAAATGGGGATAATAATAATTACCTTGAAGTTCCTATGAGAATTAGAAATAATAAATGTGGGTTACCTAGTTATTATTATAACTATAGACTATTGTTAAAATTATTATTGTTCTAGATAATTTGTTAGGGAGAGTAACTGCTAATAGAAGCCCCTATATAATTTAAGTACTCTAAACTATTCATGATGGTCCCTTTAAAGAATTATTAATGTTTTCTCCTAAAGAGAACTTTACCCAAGCATAATTTTACATTAAATAAATAAATAAATAAATAAATTTAAAAAAAATCCTAAACCAAAGAAACTCAGCTTCTGTTTCTGAGATTTCCCCAAAGCAGAATTTTAAAACCTGAGTCATTCAGGGTTATCTCATGACCTTTAAATAAAACTCCATTACTGAAAGAACTTCTGATCCTCACCAAATCTCTGTTTTCCAAGGTTACTCTGTTAAATTTGTTCTCATATACCAAAGAGAGGAAAGTGTCTTGTGCTTTTCTGGTTCCTAGTGACACATACTAAAAGCCTAAATCTTTCTAAAATCACAGCTGACTTCTGTGGTTCCCTGAACCTCAGGGACCAGCCACCTGCAGTGCTAAAGACATCCTGGATGGGCGGGATCTGGGCTCCCTTCAAATGTTCTCATTTAAAAGGAACAAAAATGTACAAGACCAACAGAGTAATTAGATAGATCCAGGCTGCAGTAATTGCAGAGGTTCAATAAAATCTGCCAACTCTTTTATATCTGGAATTTGGGCAAATCCATATGCAGTGATTCTTGGAAAAAGAGTCCATTAACCCAAACTCCAGCTAATTTTTTTTTTCCATTAGTGACATTGCCCCTAGGTAAAAAGACTCTTGGGATTAGATAAATGTGTCCAATAATAAAGTAAGGCATAGCCTGAGAAAGGGACATAACAAAAATCTGATGGAAATAATGGTGCCATGTTTTTTTTTTTTTCAAAGCACTTTCACATACACTGTCTTCTTCAGTCATGACATGCCAATGGAGTGGAAAGAAGATATGTATTACTTGCATTTTATACACGAGAAAACTCAGTTTCAGAAAAGCTGTATATGTACAAGGTCAATGAGGTAAGCAGCTGAGCCGGCTGTGAATCACAGTCTTGTTCACTATAATGATGAGAAAGAGGGGGAAATGATGGCAGCTATTACTTACTGACATTATGCTCAGTATATATTTTACCTCACTTCTTAAAACAAACATGTGAAACAAACCTGATGTTCTTCATTTTATAGATGAGAAAGTTCAGCTTCAGGGAGGTTAAATAACTTGTTCCCAGATAAGTAGCAGAGAGCAGTTAAAAAATCCAAACCTATGTATGTCATGTGTCCCTGTGGAGAGCAGGCTGAGCCCTCCCTGAGTTATTCCATGATGTATAGAACAGTTTTTAGGCTGTGTGTAGACCTTTGTGACTCCATTTTGTAAAGCAGTAGTTTGCCATACACTACTCCATTCTGAGTTTAAGAGCTGAGCTGGGATAATTCCACACTTCGTTTGTACAAGTAAACAACCACCATCTGCCTGGCACAACCATAAGGCATAAACTAATAAATCAATCAATCATGCTATTAAGAATGACCCCCTGTGAATTTATCAAATTAGTCAGGAGCACACAATTGCATGGGTATAGCATATCAAACTCACATTGGAAAAAAAAACCAGTCCCACAAGCTTATTGAATATACCAGACCACCAAATGATGCAATCCCCTCACTTGAAACCCATAAAAGGAGGGACACCCCAAGACTGGATAAGGCAGCATCCTGACCCATCACCTGGCCACTGGTCACAAGTCCTTCCTAGAAAAATTGACACAGCAATGAACCTCCATCTCTGTCCTTGGGCCTTAGTAGAGAGTGATTTCTCCTGCCTGTGATGACTACACATGGCCCACTCCAAGCTGACACTGCTGTTCATCTGGACCTTGGCTTAGAATACGTTCTTTCACTTTGACAGCTCTGCACCCTGAACAAGTTCTTTGGCTAGTTCCTAATCTTATCTGACCATCTACGGTGACTCTTTACATTTGTATCTCTCTCTCTGCCTTTGCTCTTAGTTCATCCTCCTGAATCCCTATGGTACCTTTAATCCTTTCTTAGCCTTTCTTTTATATGTATATAGATAGATATTATATATATATATATATTTATATATACATATATATATTAAATATACACATATATTTGTATAAAGTGTAATGTGTGACTTGAGTGTTAATAGATATTAGAAATTAAAATTGGAGTAAAAGAACCTGTGATTGTCCAGCTTATGATTACCACGTGAGTCTCACAAGTATTCAGTGAACTGCCACTGATGAAAATGGTGTAGCTTGTGAATATATTATTCAATAAATTCTGACATTGTAGAAAGACACAAATGTATTTGGTGTATGTTAATGAAAAGACTTGCTCATGACAGTCTCCAATAATAACACAAGAATACCCAGGGTCCTGTATTAGTAGAGGAATACTTAGAGCATGGGTTTTAGTCATTTTTCCTGTCATGGATCCCTTTGGCAGTCTGGTGAAACCTGTACACACCTTATCAGAATAATATTTTTTAAATGTAAAAAGAAGTAGACAGGATTACAAGAGCAAAACAACACAAAACACACCAATTCTCTCAGAATATACAGTATTATGAGAGACCTATATCATTGCTCAATGTGTCATCAACAATACAAATAAGTTACTTTAAATAACAATAAAAATTTGAACTTTTCTCTTTGCACTGTGCCATGCTTTAGCTTCTTGTGGTGTTACCTAGAAACCTATCTTTTAAATACATGTTGTTATGGTTTGAATATGATGTATCACCTACAAAGTTCATGTTAGACGATGCAGGAATATGCAGAGGTGAAACAATAAATAACCAGAGCTGTAACCTCATCAGTGGACTAACCTATTGGCTGGATTAACAATTTGAATGGATTACTATGTGTAACTGCAGACAGGTAGAGCATGGCTGGAGGAGGTAGATCACGGGGGGGGGGTGCCTCTGGAGATAATATATTTTGTCCCTAGAATCTGCTCCCTTCCCCCTTTCTGGCTGCCACGATGCCCTTCCCCATGATTTTCTGCCTTACCTCAATCCCAGAGCAATGGAGTTGGCCAACCATGGAATGAACCTGAGACACTGTGAACCACAATAAACTTTTCCTTCTCTAAGTTGCTCTTGTTAGGTATTTTGGTCACAGTGGCGAAGAGCTGACTAACACATATGTCCATTTAAAAAGATGTTTGCATTAGACTACTGAATGATGGCGATAAGTGTATCCTACAACATTAGCTTGCATATGAAAGACTGGAAATGACAGAGAATATAGTTACTCACGGTCCCTCAGGGAGGTGTATGTCAAATTCAATCCACCTAATATGCTGCCTGTTTGGATTTACCTTGGCATAAACACAGCTGTCAGACAGCCTCATGAATGGACAGTATTTATCACACACAGGACACATGATGATATCTGTAGCTTGGCAGACTTCTTTACTGGAAAAGAAAACAGAAAAAGACTGCTTTTTGATGACATGGACCATCGTTTTTCTCCTGCAACTTCATTAAAATGTTCAACTGATAAAATTCAGTAGATTAAATTTTTGCTCTTGGAAACTTCTTAGTCTTTTCTGTTTTAATATAAATAAGTTCCTACACAGTTTAATAGTTTGATAAAGCTACTTATTTATGAAGCTGTTTCTTGGCTTTACATATTAATGTTACACTTGGGAAAATATATGAAACAAAACATCGGTGGTCATACCCCAAATTATTTAAAAGTTCTTCACAAAATTTCTTAGGTCTGAAGCAATTTCATAATGAATTATGGAAGCAACAAGACACCTAAAAATGCCTAATTTAAACTCTGTGTGCATGACAAAACTAAAAATGGAGGACTAAATAAAAATAACTTGGGACCTTAATCCTGGGAGAAAATTATATCTCATTAATAATTTCAGTAAGTAAAATATTTCTCAAAAAATAAAAGTGAGACTCAATCGCTCACTTTTATTTTTGTGATCACTTTAAAAAGTTACATATATTATTTAAGGTCACCATCCAGCTTTGCAATAAGATTTTTGTAAATATCTTAAACTATATTCTGGTGAGAGAACCAAGAAAACAATGATTGACTGTGAACCATTCCCAGGACACTGGTAAGCTGGTGAGCTCTATTTGTGATCTAGGTATTTAAATGGTCCTTATAAAAATCAGAATTCATGAAAAAGGATTGTAAGGCCATTATTTGAAGTAGGTATTAGTTTTAGGAAAAGTAAAAGAAGGAAGAGAGTTTTTAGCCAATGAATGAAAGTGATTTGCTCCAGGTGTATGTATGTCTATAAAGGCAACTTTCGCTTCCATAATAGCTGAAGCACATAGCAGAAAGAACAATGGATGGAGATAAGTAGTGAATTGAGCCTTTTGAGGTTTTCCATCAGAGATTGGGAAGGAAGTTGGAATGAAAAGCTGTGTTTCCAGTCTGGGAATACCCCAAAGCATAAGGAACAAAACATAAAATACTCTGCAAAGGCAGGCCCACCCGAGAGCTCCCCGTACCTGACTTGGCAGTGATCCAGGGTGGTGACTCCATACAGAAAGACGAACAATCCAATGAAGGCAGCTGGGAAGAGCATGCCAGTATACCAGCCCAACCAGGCAAAGTACAGCCCGATCTTCTCTCCAAAGTACCGCCTGTGTGAGGCACGACAGACTTAGAAATTACAGTCAAGTGTGTGAAGTTCAGCACTCGAACACTTTGTTAAGTCGTTTTACACTGTAGTGGCCTTCCTGATAAAACGCGGAGAAGGTAAGCGAAGAGAAGGGAACATGTGATCCAATCTAGGCTTGGGGTTTAATTTTCTTCTCCTTTTACTTTATATCAGAAAGAGAATTGGCCCTTCCATCCAAGAGTGGGATTATACACAAGCATGTTCTGAGAACACAGATTGGATTGGAAGGGGCCAGAGTAGGAAAAGGGAGGCAAAGTAGGGGACGCCTGTTATAATAGGTAATAGGTGGAGGTAAAGGGAGAAGCAGAAGACATGCAGGGATGCTAGGGGGTGGTTAGGCTCAAGAGGTCTGGAGCAAATACGAGCTCCCGGACAACAAGAAGTATTTAAGAGATTAGATTCCTGAGACGCTCCACAAATCCATCTACTCATTCCTCTTGTTTCTGCCGACATAAATCCTGCTGCTCTTCCAGGACTCAGTTCTCAGCATCAGGGGTGCTGACCCACATCCATCCCTTCCATTTTTCTGAATAGTAAAACTTAGAGCCTTCCCGACACACGTTACCTCCCTCATTGTGGATGGTCTGGTATTTTTCTAATTATCTCCAGAGCGCAGGGCCCGTTTGCCTGGAGGAAAATGAGTTTCTCAACACTAGAGACCATTTATCTTTGTCAACAGTACTTAGCACAGTATTAGAAATAAAATGAACAGCTAATTAATACTCATTGAGTCACTGTAAAATCTTGATCAAAACACTGTCATGGGTGGAGATAGTTTGCCCGAAGTAATGATCTTAATTTCTAATCAATCTAATTCTGTAACATGGGACTGAGGTTGGGAAGAGAATTTTTTTTTCCCTTTCTCACTATTCTTCTTCATGCATTGAGTCTGGTCAAAGGAAAATTATCTCATCTCAGAAAATATTTTCAACTCATCCAGATCATCTGGATCAATTGTTACCAACACAAAGAATAGTACATAATTCGTCAATGTCCTTGGAGCATCAGGAATAAGCACTTGGCAACAAGGTAACAGGGGCTCTCTTAGGAAGAACAATTACTCAGGGGGATGAAATAGTTATCTTTTTGTTTTTCTCCCAGAGCTCACTTTTTAGGGCCCCAGTGTAAGTGAAACACATCCAGCTAGTCTAGGAAATGAGACATGATGCTCTCATTAACGAGGAATCCATCAAGTGAGGATGGTCATTAGTCAACCTTAATAACCAGTCTCTAAATAAACAATGAGATGTCAGAGAATAGGGCTGTTATGGCAGAAGGTTGGGCAGATATGATTTTTAAAAACATACATTTTCACTTCACAATTATCATATATTAAAAGCTGATATACTTTCTGACCCATAATTAAAGCAAATTTTAAATGCTGGTAGTTTTCAATTAAAATTAAAATTAAAATTAAAATAAGGCTGAAGTGTATTGGAATGTGCTATTTATATGGTAAAAGTTGAGTATCCCTTATCTAAAATGCTTTGGATCAACAGTGTTTCATATTTTGGGTTTTTTTAATTTTGGAATGTTTACAAATATATAAGTTAATTTGAAGACAGTATCTAAGTGTAACATGAAATTCCTTTGTTTCATATACACCTCATAAACATAGTCTGAGGGTAATTTTGTGCAATATTTTTTTGTATGCCTACATTTTTTGGTGGTAGGTACCAGAGATTGATCTCAGGGACACTGAACCACTGAGCCACATCCCTAGACCTATTTTGAATTTTATTTAGAGACAGGGTCTCACTGAGTTGCTTAGCACCTTGCTATTGCTGAGGCTGGCTTTGAACTCACGATCCTCCTGACTCAGCCTTGCTAGCCGCTGGGATCACAGGCATGTGCCACCCGACCCTGCTCCTATACCTATGTCTTGACTGTGATGCATCCCATGAGATCAGGTGTGGAATTTTCCATCCCATGTTAGTGCTCAAAGAATTTTGGATTATGGACCATTTTGGATTTTTCGATTTTTATATTAGGGATACTCAACAATATTCCATTTTGTGATTAATGCATGTAAGCAGTATTACCTCTCTATAGAACAATTTGTCAATGGCAGTCACAAGGGTAACCTGCTCCTCAAGTGGTCTCCCAGGGAGCCTTGCCCATCTCCTATGCCCTTCCTGGGCCCCAACCTTGTCAGAGGGAAAGTCAGTTTACCCAGAAAACCAGTGTCCTCTGACAAACTACCCTCAGGGAAGAAGTGCAATTACAGCAAGAACTCTGCACTCCGGAACCATTTTCCCCTCCGTGATGGCTCATCTTTCAGTGAAGACTTTCTCTCTGCAGCTGGTTAAAAACTCACCTGACAAGATCCAAAGGCTGGTATTTATACCATACGCCCCAGGAAGCCCAGCACTCATAGAGTAGATGCCGGTGGTTCACAGCTCCGTGGGTTCGAATGGAGTTCTTACTTCTGTAACTTCCCTGGGATAAAAACACCATTGCCAATGAGGGGATATCCACACAGCCACAAGGAAACGCTGAGGGTAACATTAGCAGGAGTAGCAACAGAGGTGAGAAGAAGGAAAAAGCAGCCCTCTCTGTTAAAAGGGACATAGTTGGGTTAATCTGGATGTCATCTTGCTGATAATGACATCTGGTAAACATCAGGCAGGTTTGAACTGAGTTCAGATTTAGTCCCACTGTTCTTTATGTAGGAGATCCTGGACAAGCCCCCTAAATACTCTGAGTCCTGATTTCCCAATGTCATAGAACTGCCCAAGCGTGGTTAGATCTCTTCCCCGTTTCACTCAAGGTAGGGTAGCTGGTACCAACAGCCATAGCCACAGCCTTTTCACAGCCTGATCAACAGGCAAATCCTGGAATGTGAAAGCTGGAAGCCACCTTGGGATTCTAATCATTCGAATCAAATTCAACCTCCTCATTCAACAAATGAGGGAACCAAGGGCCAGAGAGGTGGTTGTTTTTCTGAGGTCAGTTCGTGGCAATGATAGTTTGACCAATAGAAAATAAACCTTCGGAGGCAAATGAATTATTCACATCAGCCTGAGAATCCCATTCTTAATGGAAAGAATAAAGGGGTGGGAATAAAGGAACCTGGGTGTGTCTCAGTTCAACCACCAACTCACTGTGTGACTCCAAGGAGGGTGAACTTTTCTATCAAACTCTATTTAAATTTGTAACATGGAACAAGGGCAACAATACCTGTCCTTCCTGCCTGTGAAGGTGGTTGTGAGGTGGAATAATATAAATGAATTAAACTGAGAGCAAAAAGTTAAAAAGGGAGCTGGGTGCGGTGGCGCATACCTGCAATCCCAGCAGCTTGAGAGGCTGAGACAGGAGGATCACAAGTTCAAAGCCAGCCTCAGCAAAAACGAGGTGCTAAGCAGTTCAGTGAGACCCTGTCTCTAAATAAAATGCAAAATAGGGCTGGGGATGTGGCTCAGTGGTCAAGTGTCCCTTAGTTCAATCCCTGGTTACCCTCTACCCAAAAAATTTAAAACAGTATTATTATTGTGGTTGTTATTACTAATTTGGAAATTTTCTTTTCATAGAATGTATGGCTTTACTCTGTAGAGACTCCCACAAATTACTCTGTGGGTTTTTTTGTAGCTGCTTCTGCTCAGATGTCCTCATGTCAGCCCATCTACTCCCCTTCCATTGTACATCTGCCCACCATTACTTGGATATATACCAGGGGTCAGGGCTTGGAGTGGGGAGAATGTGGTACCCATAGAAACATTCTCTAGGCAAAGACAGCCTATAACTACAGGAAGCTACACAGAAACTTTTGGGAAAAAAATCTGTTTTCAGAGTTCAGAAATACATGCATGTGGCCTCTGTAAACCTTTGTGTCAAAATGACTGCTTTGGTCAATCTAAAAGAAGCATTCAAAAAAAATGTCTCTTAACATCTGTAAATAGCATTTCAGACCACAGCTCCTAGTTTTCTTAATAATTATGGTTCTAAAAATTCTACCTCACCTTTGACATCCTCTTAGTGTTCAAAATCAAGAGAAAAAATTGTAAGCCAAACAAAAAGTACATTTTGGGAAGACTTGCCATTTATGGAGAGGTGGAATTGTCCTCCAAAGTTTATTGGCAAACAGTTTCAACCTGGTTAATTTGTTTGCACAGAATTGGGGCTAGGACATTTGTCTTGTAGTCTCTGTGTCCTATAGTGATGATACATGGTAGAGCTTAACACTGTGAAAATGACAATAACCTCTCAATAATCATGAGAGAACTCAGGTAAAGAATTCTGGGTTACATAATCCAAGATCTACTGGAAAACCAAATTAAGGATGATCATTGTTATGCTTATCAAAGTCATTATATATCACAAAGACCAGGAAGTAAATAAGGAAAATATCAATATCTTATAATGATGAATACAATACTATTAATTTCCTTTATCACCCTTTGTTTATTGGAAACTTTGCAAAATGACTTCCTACCACTCTTTCAAGGAATACCTACAAATTTATTTATTGCAAAGACTATTTCAAAAACATTCCCCTCTCTGTCTGGTGCCTCATGCAAATTTTCAACAACTTTTAAATTGCATGATTTACAGTCCCTAAGTCATTCCTCTGAATTCATGCTGAGTGACTCTTAAGTAACTTAAGTGACTCTTGAAGACATAGAGAAATAAATCTACACTGAGGGAGAGATAAAAGAATGCAGATAGACCCTCCTCAATTACCCATTAAACAAATCAAATTCATTCTGAGCAAATATCTACAGTTCTGAGCCATAGCAACAAACTCAATTGATGACTGTCTCTAGAAGCCAGTTTTAGTAACAAGTTAAAAGGAAGAAGAAAATGCAGCACAATACCTCATGCAGGGGAAAAGCAGCTTCATAGGAGCCATTGGTAAGCAAGCGATTCAGACCTAAAGCAACAAATAAGCCCATTCCAGTTAATAATGAGTTTAGATCCTCACAATTCTCAAGACTACCAAGATCAGTACTTTCTGGAAAAAAAAAAAAAGAATCAAGGCTTTAAAAAAATTCAAACCTACTTGGGGTGACCAATAGTTTAAAAAGAAAACTTTGCAATCTGCTAGATAATTGGGATCAATTGCTGGGAAATCTGTTTGTTTGTTTGTTTTAAATATTGAGTTGTCAAGAACTGAATAGATTCAAAGTTTACAGTGTGATAATTTGATATACATAATACACTATCATGATTACAACAATCTAATTAATGACTATATCCATCACCACCTATGCTGTACCTTAGGTCTCAGAACTTATTCATTTTATAAGTGAAACTTTGTACCCTTTGACGAGCATCTTCCTGTTTCTCCTTTTCTATTCTGCTTCCAAAAGTTTGACTTGTTTAGATTCCAATAAGTTTAAAATCATGCAGTATTTGTCTTTCTGTGTTTGGCTTATTTCACCCAGCAAAATGTCCTCCAAGTTCATCCATGCTGTCAGAATGGCAGGATTTTTTTTCTTTTTATGGCTGAAGAACATTCCATTGTGCATATGTACAATTTCTTTATCCACTCATCTGTCCATAGCCATGTAGGTTGTTTCTGTATCTTGGCTATCATGAGTAATGCTGAATAAACACAGGGGTGCACATGTCTCTTCAACATACTGATTTCACTTTCTCTGGATGTGTACCCAGAAGTGGAATTGCTGGGTCATATAGTACTTCTATTTTAAATTGTTTGAGAAACCTCCATACTGTTTCCACAAGGACTATACCAATTTCCATTTCTACCAGCAGTGTATGGGAGATTTCTTTTCTCCACATTCTCACCATATTTAACTCTTTATCTTTTTGATAACAGCTTTTCTAATTCTAATGGGTGTGATATGATATCACTGTGGTTTTGATTTGCATTTCTCTGATGATTAGTGACATTGAGTACCTTTTCATATTCCTATTGGCCATTTACACATTTTCTCTAGGAAGATGAAAAATGTCTATTTAGGTCCTTTGCTTGTTTTAAAATCAGGTTATCTTTTTTTTTTTTTGATATTGCTACCTGTAAGTTTCATACATATTTTGAATATTAACCCTTTATCAGATATATGGTTTGCAAATATTTTTTCCCATTTTGTAGATTGTCTTTTCAATTTGTTGTTTGTTTCCATTGGTATGTAGAAGCTTTTTGGAAATCAGTTTTCAAACAGAAAAACGATGAAGCACATCTAGTACAGTGCTTGGCATAGAAGGGAATGCACAGAGAGAAGCAGATCAATGTGTCATTAAAAAAAAAAAAAGGATAATTTTAAGTCAGAAGCTCTTCTGTTTTGACCTAGAAGCTTCATTGTGGAAAAACCTAACTCTTCTGCATTAGACTAGTGGTCCGACTTTGGAAAAATTCCTTTGTCCTCAGGCTTCAATTTTCTCATCCATAAAATAGGAGTGTAGGTAAATACATAGATCTTTTAAAAGAATAGCTTTAATGAGTTATAACGAAGATATGATAAATAGAACACACTTGAAGTGTATAATTAGATATATTCTGGCATATGTACTCACGAGACCATCAACACAACCAAGGTTCATCAAACTTCCAAAGTTTTATCATGCCACTTAGTAGCCTGCCGTTCTTCCCCACGTTGTCTCCATGCAAACATTGATCTGCTTTTTCTCACTATCAATCGTCTGCATTTTCTAGAGTTCCACATAAATGTAGTCAATAAGTATTTGCTATTTTTCATCTGACTTCTTTCACTCTAAATAATTATTTTGGGATTCATCCATGTGGTTATAAATGACTATCAGTAGTTTCTTTCTCTTTATTGCTGTGTAGCTTCCATCATCTGGTATTTAACAATTTGTTTATGTGAGTATTTAAGAATTTTTTGCATATTTTCCTGATGATGGACATTCAGGGTATTTCTAATGTAGGGCTATTACAAATAGAGCTGCTGTTAGTACTCATGTAAAAGTTTGCACGGATGTGTAGCTTCACTTTTTCTTTGAATAAATTCGTAGATGTGCAATGGCTAGATCATACAGCAGGTATGTGTTTAGTTTTTTGAGAAAATGCCAACTGTTTTCTTGAGTGTTTGTACAATTTCACATTTTCATTAATAGTGGACGAGGGTTCATGTTCTCCCGCATCCTCATCAACACTTGGGAGTGGTGAGTCCTTTTCATTTCAGCCATTCTAATGTGTGTGTTGTGATTTTCATTGTGGCTTTAATTTGTATTCCCTCATGAATAATGTTGCTAAAAATATTTTCATGTGCTTGTTTGCCACCAACATATCTTCTGTGATATGTGTTTAAATCTTATGCCCATTACAAATTTTTTATAACAAGATTTTTTTAATAGTTGTAGATGGACAGAATGTGTTTATTTTATTTGTTTATTTTTATGCAGTGCTACGAATCAAACCCAATGCCTCATATATGGGAGGCAAGTGCTTTGCCACTGAGCTACTGTCTCAAATCTATAACAAGTTTTGAGAGGTTCTGATATATTTTAGATACTGTTAGACATATGTTTTGGAATTTTTTTCCTTAGTATGTGGCTTCTCTTTTTATTCTCTTAAAAATCTTTCTCTTAAGAGCAAACTTTTAATTTTGATGAAGTCCAACTTATCTATTTGTTTATTTTGTGATTTGCATCTTTTTAATGAATTGTAATAGATTAACTTTCTTTATCATTATAAAATGAACTTTCTTTATCCCGGGTGATATTCTTTGCTTTGAAATCCGCTTTTCTGGCATCAGTATATCCACTTAAGTTTCCTTTTCATTATGGTAACATATCTTTTCCCATCCCTTTACTTTTAACCTATTTGTCTCTTTATATTTAAGGTGCTCTTCTTGCAGGAAGTAATAACTTAGACTGTGTTTTGTATCATGTATTAATCTCTGGTGTTCGGATTGAGGTCTTTAGACCACTTATCACTGATAGTTTTAGATGTACATACAAGTTTGTGACCACACTGTTTTCTACTTGTTCCATTTGTTCTTTTCTTATTTTATGGGGTGTTTTTTTGGTACTACTTATTTTTCATGATTCCATTTATCTGTGTCGGCTCTTTAGCCATCACTCTTTGTTCTTGCTCTGATAGTGGTTGATTTAGAGCTTAGAGCACATCTTTCACTCATCACAGTCTACCTTCAAGTGAAAGTCCCATGAAATTGGAGGCTGCTTTCCTTCCCTTAATAACCTTTAAGCTATTGATAACATATAGTTTACTTTGACATATTTTATAAACCTCACATTACAGTGTTATTATTTTGATATAAGTGGTCAGTTACCTACTCATGATATTTAAAGCATAAGAATATTTGTATATTTTTTCCTGAAGTACGTCTTTAACATATCTTATAGGAGAAATCTTATAATGATAAATTCTTTCAGTTTTAATATGTCTGAAAAATTCTTTATTTTACCTCCATTTTGGGGAAGATTTTTTTCACTGGTATAGAATTCTAAGTTGACTTTTTTTTTTCCTCTCTCAATACTTTAAAGATTTGCTCTATTGTCATCTAGTTTGATTATATTCAAAGTGAGAAATCTGCAATAAAGTTAACCTTTGTGCCCTTGTATGGACATGTCTGCAGATCTTGGAAAAACTCTACTTTCTGGAACTTTGTTCTGTGAGCTATAGATGCCTGGGGCTCCCGGGACTCTCAGCAACATCTTCTCAACTTGAAATCTCCCCAGCTTTGCCTGGATTCTCCTTCCTTGCCAATCGAAAGGTAGTCAATTGTGGGGCTCATCCCATTTGTTTTCTGTTTCCAAGGATCCCTGATTTGGGTTTCCTAATGTTCAATGTCTTGAAACTAACTGCGTCATATAATTTATCTTTTTCCTTTTTCGGATGTTTCAGGTGGGAGAATAAGTCTCATGCCTGTTCTTTCACCTTGGCCAGAAGTAGAAGTTTAACATGTTGCTCTTTAAAGTTACTTTCAGGTCAAGATTTATGTTACATAAAGCTTTGATTTCCTGGAGCATCTATTGAATATTCTATATATGTCCTTGATACATTTCAAATATCCCAGATGTTAGAAAAAATAGGATCACAGAGACATAATAAGAGACTCTGATGATAACCTTTATGTTTATCATAACTTATCAAGTCCTGCAAAGTGATAAAGTAGCTCATATTTAAAGTTGACGACTTTACAAACTTCACTTTTAAAAACACACATTTTGAAAATACAAATACCTTTCAAGATTCATTGTATGCACACATATTGCTCAATGAATCTTTGTTGAGTTATTAATTGCTCTATCTTAAAGTGAGCTTTACCAGGTTTGATTTTCACAGTTGCAATAAATTCAGAGTGAGTTTGAAAAACTCACATAGTGGCAGTTTATACTCCACTAAAACACCCTTATGAATCATGTCTACAAATCAATATTTTTGTGTTATTTCTAATCAATGTTGGCTCATGCAAGATGACAGAAAGTTTCAGGCAGAAAATAACATTGGATAAACATTAATTCTATCAAGAAATTAAATTTTCTTCCAACTTCCAGGTTGTTAATTTATGAAACCAAAGATGACAACAAAGTAAGTAAATAGACCATTTGTAGTTTTACTCTACATTTTTAATCATAATGCATAATCTTGGCTTAATAATTTATTCTGTGAATGGTTATATCTAATTAGACATATTTCAATTTCATCCTTATTGAAGTGCTGAAGGTTTTAAAGATAATCCTTCACCTCATTTCATCAAATCATAGAAGCTTTTAGAATCTCTTTACTATACTTCAGTGCTCCTTCAGAACACTGAAAAAATACTGTCTCTGCCCTTCTTTTATCTCCTTTTGTCTAACTGTAAAAACAGCTCCCAATTTGAGATTTAAATATTATTATACCATAATAATTGCTGTATGGCCTCACAGTACAGTTGGCAATTGTGTAGGATACTCATAAGGAGACAGCAATCATTTAAAAAATATTTTCAGTTCAGTTCAACAAGCATTTTTTGAATTCTTTCTAGAAGCCAGACACTGTGCTAGGCCATGATAATGAAAAGATGAATAAGGCAGCTTCTTTATAGTTTTGAAGCTTTTTATCTAGACCAGTAGTTTTCAGTAGTAACTTTTCAGCATACTAGTTTGTCACAATGAATTGCAAGGTAGACTGCAAATGCTGCAAATGCTTACAGGGTTAGTAAGGGGGCTGTCTTTTAAGTTATTTGTGTTTTATGAAGTAATCCAGAATAGCTACTGCCATAATAATTTGACATTCACTCACTTGTTTTCTAGTATATTCATAACTAAAAAAAATAAAGTATGGTAGAAAGGTATACATGCCATCCAAATTTGTTGAAAAAAAGTGACGAAGTTAATATTTAAATTACTTAGGATGCAAAATATTGGCAGTGGTTCTTTTTAGGTGGTAAATTTGCATAATGTCATTGAAAGCAATTGTAGACAATAAAAGAAGAGTTGTATAATATTAAAATCATCAAATAAACACTCCAAAAATAATTGTCATAGGAATTCAGAAGAGGGAATAATTCCTTTAAGTTAGATGGGCCCAGAAGACTTTATGGAGAGGGTATATTTTAAGGATGGATGAGTTCTGTAGAGAGAATAGGTTGTGTTCAACTACAACACCATCCAAGTTATGAAAGATCTACATTAGGTTTATTTCTCTACATGCACCTGCACCGAATTTCTCTGAATATATATTCCAGGTGTATTCAGATCTAGACCAGGTAGCTATCTATTTCTCCCTATTCTATTTTAATTTATGCAGCTTGGGATCAAAGTAGATTTTTTTTTTGGCAGCTTCATTATTCTAGTGACTCACACTGAGCTTGAATTCAACTCAACTCTCAAATCTGTTCTTCTCATGATGTTGTTGAGAAACATTTCTCCCACACTGTACTGGGGCAGTTATTTTGCTGATCTGAGTGTAGGACTTTACATTTACAAACTGTTAAATGTCATCTTGCTAGATTTGGCCTAGAGTACCAACCTGCTGAGATCACTGAGGTTCCTGACTCCAGTATATATATCCTTCAGCTTTGCCCCATGAGAGCAATAGATTATGTATCAGTTATCAATGTATTGTGCCCTTTAGCCCCAAATGCATCTTGACTGTGTGCTTTGCAGTAATGGAGCTGTCAGCTGGTAATACCTCTACTGTTAACTGATGGAGGAAGGAGTTCCTCTTCCTGATACTGGTATCTTTCACCAGGCTTTTGCTGCACCCATTTTTATAGCACCCATCTCCTGTAGTATGTGGTGACCAGCAGCACATGACACTCCCCAAGGGAGTAGCTCTGTGGGTGGCTTCACAGAGCAGTGCGACTGGAGCAACATAGCCAATAAACAACTTCCCTTAGACCCATGTAGGCAGCTCTCCCAGTACTCCAGACAACAGACCCCCAGAAACTCTCCACCAGACTCCTTTGCCCAGCTGCATCCCTGCCAATAAGGTCTGGATTTCAGCTTTGTCAGAGGAAACTGCTAATCTCTACTATTCTTTTATTCTTCAGCGTTCCCTTGACCAGTCAATCTTTCATGACTTCAATCTCTGGTCATAATTAATTATTTCTATTAAACTTTCCCTGTCCAGATTATATGTGCTTTTGCTTCTTTATTGAACCCAGACTGATATAGGTCATTATTAAAAGTATCAGTGAAATCTTTGTTGGGACCAAGCCTCCCAAACCTTTCTAACACACAATTGCCTGTTTAATAAGGCAGGAAATTTGGTAATTTAATATGGGAAGATTCTCATAAAAAATGCTTAAAATATAAATTGTGGAGGCTGTTTCATGGGGAAGGTGATTATTTGGAGAATTAAGTGTGACAACTCCCTCAGCCTGGAACCTTCCATCCTCTCATGCTGCCTCCTTATCACTCAGGTCTCAATTCAGATTTCTGGTCCTCAGGAGGTTTTCCCTGACCACCCAATCTCAATGACCTTGGCCAGTCTATCTCTGCAACCACCCATTTTAATTTCTTCATGTTACTTACTATATTTACCTGTTTGTTGTTTTCTCCCTCTACCTTCTTGGGCAAAATCTCCAGAGTAGAATTGTGCTCATCTCCCTAACTCCTTGCTCAGTGCCTGGCACAAGGTAGGAACTCCATAAATATTTGTAGAGTTGAGATAAATTGTCCATAATCTTAGATTAATGACATGATGTGCTTTCTAGAGAAGATACATAAGGATGCTAGGAAGATTTTACACTTACGGACAACTCATCAAAGTAATGGAGGTTTTATAAATGATAAGCATTTCTAGAATTGACTCAAAAGTAATGAAATCAAAGGAAGAAAACTAATCCCCTAATCTAAATGTAGTATGTCATACTCCATATGCCACTCACCGATTTTGTTTTTTCCTTCTTCGTACTTTATTCTTTGCAGAATGTGATGTACAATTCTACTTCTTGTGGCATTGTTGAAGAAAGTGTCTTTGTTGTGGATGATGAAGCTGCACACACACACACATTGAAAACACAAAGCTGAGGATTAATTGGCAGTGAGAGATCTCATGTGTTATCATTGGGTGCTGCTCAGATGGAGGTATCTTGAAGCTATCCTAAATGAACAGCAGGAGAGAGCCCAGGGATGGCGCCAAAGCAGTAGGACCATGAGTCTAAGTAGTTTTGGTTCTCAGAATTCTGAGCAGTAACAGCATTAAGCCAGGAAGGAGCTGGAGATAAATGAAATTATAAAACCTTAAAACGAACTGATAACAAATATAGGTCTTATTTTTTTCACTTTTGCTTAGTAAGGTCATGAAATAGATTCAATTAAAGATTTGTTTTGTTTTTATCTCCATGTCCTTTACCCTGCCTCTTCCCATGTTATAATCAGGTGGTTCTCCAGGAATGTTTAGATTTGAAACTGGCTTGAGTGGTGGGTATAGAAGTTCAGTAATGAACTCTGGTCTGGCTCAGGGGTGAGGTGAGGGGCCAGTTTTGGGAAATCAACTCTGTCCCTCACTCTCCCATGGTCTCTACTGGAGGGAACCCAGTAGTATAAGCTTAAGCATAAACTTAAGATATGTTTTTAACATTTAACCAGTGGCCTAGCCAGTCTTTATAGCTTTCAAACGGCTCATAGGCCACACACACACACACACACACACACACACACACACACACACTCATATACACAACACTGGACTGTCTAGTAGGTGTTCCTACCCTACTAGGTAACAGGCAGAGCTTTTAGGGTCATGTAATCTAGCATAAAATGGCCGTGTCTTCTTGTCCCAGAAATGCAGAAATGTGAAATATGGTAGAATGTTAGCAACACTAAGTGTAATTGCATCTTAAAATTTAAAAGTTTATCAACTTAGTAAACTTTTATTGGGATCCTCCTATAAGTCAGACTCCATGAAAACACATACAAATATTAATAACCACCACCCTGGAATCCAGCTTTGAGATCATCTCCTCTAGCTTTCCACCGCTCCAACTGTTTCCTGTCCCTCACAGAATGCAGCGTTCCCTCCTCTGTACTATTTCTTGCTTTGCAAGCACATTGATTGACTGGTCATTCTGTATTGTCATTGTATTCATTTCTTCATCAGATAGTTACAAAGGGCACTCCATAAGGTACTGATGACACATTGGCAAGCAAAATAGAAAAGCTTACAGTTTAATGGGTAAGACAAACAGGAGCCTATGGCAGAGAAAGGTAGACTCAACCTCCTTTTTCATGTCTTTTCTCCCACATAGGACTGTGGGTTCACTCAGGACAGCAAGCTGTAGCCCTGGGGTCCAGTGAGTGGCTGGCACATGGATATGTGAGGTCATGGGTTTACGCTGAGGAAATAGCTGACACATTTTTCTGGAGAAGATGGAGGCTGATTAATTGTAATTGATGAGACAAAACTGGCCCAGAGGAAGGGTGGTCCAGGCATGGAGCTCAGTTTGGGGGAACAGAGTTGAGAACATGAGAGTGGAATGACAGATAAAGGGGAGAAAGGCTGGAGAATATGAAGACAAAAGTGCATCTCAAGAGCTGATTCCTTGGAGAAGTATTTTCCTCCCACTTTTGCTTCTCTTGGGTTGTCTTAGAAAATATTGCCCTCAGAGAAAGGTGATTTGACACAGTGGTGAGAGATGAATGCTGTGTTCGTAAACAAGGAAGCTGCAGCATTTATCTCATATTTTCTCTTGGGTTTTCTGAAGACATTTTATGACATCAGAAAGGAAGAGGAAAAAAAACAAAACCAGGAGTAACATCGAGTGCAGTTCCTTTTATTTGATCTTTCTCTGCTTTTGCACCTTATTTGGGACAGGCCATTACCTTTTAATACCAAATAAAGATGTCATAAAGAAATAGACAACAAATAAAAAGCCCATTTTGACTAACAATTTCAGATGATAACTGAAAGCTGATAAGCACAATTATGCTTGATGAGACAATTTGGGGCTAAAAGCCTATATCTCTCCTCCATGAAATGTTTTTCTGCTTCCTTCTCTTTTTATAGTACCACTTTTCATCTTCTGAGCCCATGTGTGATGGTTCTCTATAATAAGAACTAGGGGCCTGCTCCAAAATCTTGTTTCAGTTTCCTTATATCTAGGTTGTACCTGGACCCTAGAACATATAAGGGACATGTGCCAGGCACTATTCTAAACACCCTAAATGCACAAACTCATTAAATCCTTACAACTATCCACAAGGTGAGGCTTATTTGTTCCATTTTACAGGTGAGGAATCAAAGAGGTTATGGCATGTGCTGAAAGACACTTATCTACCAAGGGGCAAATCAGGATCTGGTTGCAGAGGCTGCCCTCTTAGTCACCCCTCTTGCCTGCTTCTCTCTATACATCAGAGCCTCCTGCAGGTTGGCTCTGCTTGAGGTCATCCCAAGAGGAACTCTTCCTGGCATGCTCTTCTTGTTTCCATGCATCCCTGCAACCTCAGCTCATGGTATATCTCCCTCCAAAGCTCTTGCTCCACACCCCATCCTCACCCTGAAATGCAGTGTGGTGCTATGCCAGAGGAGGAAGCAGAAACCACTGAATGGATGAAGAGGGAGATGTGCTTAAAAGCCTTCAATGTGTTCAACATCATCATTGCTTTCTCTTAAGCCTCTGAAGCGAGACAGACCTTAGTCTATGCTTCAGCACTGCCACTTACTCTGTGGTGTTGGGGGTTATCCCTCAACTTTCCTGGATCTTGGTTTCCTCATCTATGAAATAGGTATAACACTATAATTACTCTTCGGGGGTTTCATATAATTAGGTGAGACAACAAGCAGTGCTGTGCCTTCTGACTGGCATTTCTAGGCTCCCAGAATTAGCTGTCACCACTACTGTCGCTTCTATCATATTATATCAAAATTATCTGCCTATATTCCTGGCTTGTCTGTATGAGTATCTTGAAGGCACATATCAGCCATGCCCGTCTCTGTATTATAGCACTAGCTAGCATAGGGCAAAGTACAGGACAAACACTTGAAGTTAAATCAAAAGAGCTGACTTCTGGAGGACACTAGCTAGGCTAGGAGCTATGGAACTGTATCTCATCTCCTTAAATCTTGACCCTATTCCTGCTTCTTGGAGCCCTTTCTGTCCTCTCCATTTCTTTCAACTACCAACAGAGCAATTCCCTTAACATTGCACATTTAAGGCTCTTCTGGTGGGGCATGGAGCAGTCTCATTTTCTCTGTCACTCTTTCCAACAGGAGGATTATGAGAAGGAGCACTGAAGACTAATATTTCCCTATATCATATTCTCATGCTTTTCTTAGCCACAAATAACACAAATGAGATTGCACTTATATGCATGCATGCATGCATACACATGATATAAGATGAAAAATTCTGGCCAATATAAGACTCGGAGCCCCACGATTCTGAGCAGGGCTCAACGTGGGCTGATAAACTCAGTTCTGTACCTATATATTGCTGAGGAGGAAAACTTGTACAGACTCTATGGAGGTCATTTGACCAGATTCACCAAAATTCCGCATGTCTTCATTATATATCCTCTGACCCAGAAATTAATCTTTTAGAAATTTACAAATACACTTACCCATGTGGGAAGTGACAGATGTGCAAGAATGTTCACTATGGCATGGGTTATAATAGCAAAAGTCTTGAAATAACCTAATAATTCATCAGTGAAGAGTAGGATAAACAAATATGATACAACTCTACAGTGAGATACTTTAAAGAGATGAAGGAGGCTCAGTGAAAATATTTAAAGTCTCCCAGATAGTACCAGGAGAAAACAAAATTCAAAACAGCTACATAGTTATTTGTATCAGAGGAAAATATCCATATAATGAAGCACCCAGATAGAAATATATTGACATACATATTTTCTGGTGCATACAAAGAATGACCATTGAAGGGTATATACACATCTGGTTGCCTCTGGGAGAACAAAGTGGCTGGAAATTTGGAAAGGAAACCTCACTGTGTACACTTAGGACATTTTTATCATGTATACTACCTATTAAACGGAAAAAACAATTTTTTAAAAGAAAGCCTAAGAAGAAAATGTGTTTATATTCTAGGTCTATCCTTACCATCCCTCTGAGGGATGAAGAAGGAAATCAACTGAACTGGTGGAGGATCAACTCTGAGAACACAGCTTGGTACACACACCTCCTTGTTCTACCCCTTTGGAGAGATGGTATCAATTCCCCAAATTCATACAACCAGCAAGTGGCAAGAAGGGATTCAGAAACCATCTTCTTTGTTCCATATTTTCTCAATTCTTTGAAAAGGAAACCTCTAGGAGCACAGGGCTGCCTTTGTGCATAAGTATGTGAAGGGGATCTTCTGGATGCTTCACTCGTGCCCTGGGAGGAAGGCCCCGTTGACCTGCTCAATAAGTAACGGGCAGATTGGAGCCTGAAGCCCCCAGTGTCTCTTTTCCAGAGTCTCAGCCAGCCTTCTGCTTCCTATGGTGGTGAGCAGCCTGGGCTTTCACTTGGGGTGCTGGGGGATTGGGATCCCCATATCCTCTAGGTTAGGAAAGAAGGAATGGGAGGAAATATGCCTTGCAAATGAGTGTTAGCTACTGACCTCCTGGAGTTGTATTTGCTCTTTACTGATAGGTTCTTCCTATACCAACTGTTCACAGCAGGGCTATAAAATACTGTAATATGCTGGGTTGTTTAACAAGTAAATATTATGCTGGCACTGTCCTAAGCTCTGTCACTGAGTGTGTGTATATATGGAAGTGGGTGGAAAACGGGAAGCGACAGGGTGGTATGCATTCTGAGAGGTTGCCAAGGTGAAACAAACCCAGCTCCCCTTCTCAGAGAATCCTCTGCTCTTATTAGATAAAATGAGAAACACAAACCTTCAAGGCTGTCAATTGGGAAAAGGGGCTCATTAGTGCTGGGTTTAAAATCAGCCTAGTATGAAATGTGCCACTTTCAAAGCAGAAAACAACTCAATTCTTTTTCTAAACTTTCCTCTTAGACTGCAGATATTAGGATAAGACTCCATTTTC